TGGAAGCAGGCCCGAGCAAGAGAAGAGTGCTCCAAGGGCTCAAGGGCTCAAGGGGACAATAACAAAGTCTTTGGGTTTTTTTATCCCTATTTGTTGTGGGTAGTTACTTAGAGGAGTGAGCCTCTAAGAAAATTATCTTGATTGACAACTAAGATTGACAGGACTCAGTGACTCATGGTTTGCTTTCTGCGCTTGTTCATTCCCAGAATTCAGTCAATTATAATATTAATGAACTTCCGGGCACGCGCATCATATTATAATGATTTTATAATGAGGCTCAGGTGAATTGAAGGTCATTGGGGTCTTCATTGTGCAGGTGCGAATGACTGGCTGAACCAGGAACCAAATTTTCTGCTTTCTTGTTTCCTTGTACGAGTTACTTTTAGCCCCAAAGATTCCCTCTGGCTTGCTTAATTGTGGGCAGACTAGGCGGACACTTTCTAGTATAGGATAACTTCAGTGTCTTTGCAGGCAGACCTAAAACCCCCTAACTTTTCTGCCTAACCTTTTTCTAAGAGCCATGAACCCCCTTTTTATTAGTATAGGTGTTGAGAGACGGGAGGTCACTTCTGTATCTGCTTCTTGCTTCTGGTCCCTGCCTGTTGGGGTTTCATGGAGGTCTTTTCCTCTCTGCTTTAGTCAGGACAAGGTCTTGGATATTCTGCTGAAATGTCACCTCTGTCTCTAGACAAAGAAAAAGATCCAAACATGTTATTTGAGTCATATCTATTTATGTTTCTATCATTAATTTGCTTATCAATTGAGGAAGGGAAAACAGGCTTGGTTAATATATTTCATAAAAGAAAGAAAAAAGCTTGGGTTAAAAGTTCTCCTCCCCCTCTCCGTCTCTAAGTTTCCTGTTTTCGCCTAAAGCCATTCAGGGGCCAAGGAGAATGCTGAGTTTCAATGATCCTTATCAATAGTCAGAGGACCCGAGTCACCAGTTTCAAGATAATTATCTAGGTTTGAGGGAGAAAGTCGTTCTCCAAAGAAAGGAGGAAAGAAAAGACTTAAAAAGATTAAGAAATTTGCAAACGATGGCAGTATCATTTTCTTTTTTCTTTCTTTCTTTCTTTCTTTTTTTTTTTTTGTAGTCTTTGTCTGGTTTTGGTATCAGTGTAACATTAGTTTCTTAAAATCAGTTGGGAAGTGTGTCCTCTATGTCTGTTTTCTGGAAGAGATTGTGTAGAATTGGTGTTACTGTTTTTAAAAATATTTGGTAGACTTTTCCAGTGAAACCATCACAACCTGGAGATTTCTTTTGGGGGAGTTTTTTAGGTTATAAATTCAATATCCTTAATAGTTATAAAACTATTTAAATTATCCATTTCATAATGAGCATGTTGTCATAGTTTGTGTTTTACAGGGAATTGGCTTATTGAACTAAGTTGTCAAGTTGATGTGTGTAGAGTTGTTTGTAATATTCCCTTAGTATATTTGATGTCTTCAGGGTCTCTAGTGATACCCATTTCATTTAGATACCGATATCTCTTTTTTTCTTGTCAGTCTTACTAGAGGTTTGCCAGTTTTAATTGATCTTTTCAAAGGACCAGCTCTTTGCTTTATTGATTTTCTCTATATTTGTTTTCAGTTTTATTGATTTTTGCTTTTATCTTTATTACTTACTTATTTCTGCTTTGGGTTTATTTTGCTTTTCATTTTTCTAGGTTCTTAAGGATGGGAACTTAAATAATTTATTTGAGCCTTTATTTTCTAAACTGTGTTTATTGCTATAAAATTCCCTCTCAGCACTGCATTAGGTGTTTCCCACAAATTTTGATATGTTGTGTTTTCCTTTTCATTCGGTTTAATGTATTTTTTATTTCCTTTGATATTTTTTGACCTATGGTTTATTTAGAGATATGTCCTTTAATTTCCATGTATATGGATATTTTCCTGATATCTTTCTGTTACTGATTTCTATTTTGATTCTATTATGTTTGGAGAACACTATATATGATTTTGATGATTTATTTGTTTGTTCGCTTGAGAAATTTTGTGAATTTATTTGAGCCAAACTGATGACAATTGCCGGGAAGCAAAATCTCAACGGATTGCTCTGGAGATTGGCAGTTTTGCAGCTTATTTTATACATTAGAATTAACAAAGGCATAAAGCGGGTTACATGGAATCCATTGATGGTAGATTAAGGAGGTGAGAGAAAACAAAGCAAGGAAATCTCTGGGATTAGATAATAAATAAAATGCAGAAAGACACATACTTCTTTAATAATCAACACAACACAGAGAAATGGTATGTGGAGAATAAGATAACTATGAGAGATTCTGTAGTCTCCTGCTCAAGTGCTGTGCAAGTGTCCTGAGGGATCTCGAAAAGGAGATTACTCTGAGGATTCAAGGGTATGTTATCTTAGATGCAAAAAGACAAGACTATAGACTCGCTTAAGGTAAAGATTGAGCCGGGTCGAGGTGATTGATGCTAGACTGGCAAATTCCCTGAGTCAGGAAAGGGGAGCTCAGGCCCTGTACTGAGAGGGATAAGGGTTCTTTGCTGAGCTCAAGAAAGAATTCAAACACCTGCCAAAGTTAGTCAAAAGAAAAGTTTATTAAAGAGAAAAAGCAAAGACAAGGAGAGAAAGCGAAGACCAAAAGCCAAGACAAGAGACAAAAAGCCCTTAGTGTTGGGGAATCCAGATTGTATATCATTCTTAGTTTCTGTGAATTAGTAAAGATTTTGTTTACCACCTCCTCCCCCCTTTTAATTTAAATGAACATACAGGGAGAAAGGATGAGTATATAGCATGAAAAGGTACAACTATGTAGTGTGAAAGGCCTGCTGGCAATCCCAGTCTTTGATCTGTAAGTTCCCCATGATTTTAGCCATAGGGAATGAATGATTTTATTTTGCGTAGGGCACCACTTAAAAACTCTATTTTTCTGTTTTCCCTTCACCATGTGGGGAAATGGTTTGTTAGCAATCTCCACAGAAATCTTTCTTAGTTCTGCATGTTTTCTCATGGTCTGGCTGTAAGCATATTGCAGTCTCGATATAGCTTGATTTAACATTTAGTTCTCTTCCCTCCTCCCTACATTAAAGGAAGCTACAGGCTTAGGACATGGCTACCCACTATGACCCCCTCTTAATGAGCAATTTTTATGTTCAGGCCGTCCTATGTGGTTACCTTCGATCTCTGAGTTTCTAAGGCCTACTGTGCAGGCCTCCCCTGCAGATTGCTTGTCAGATTTTGTGTGTGATCCCTTTTTTGTCCACAATAACCCCTTTTAGTCACAAATCAATCCAAAGGATGCATCTGTGACCAATTTCTTGGTTGGATGATGTGGTCCCATGGTGCTAGGAAGGTTCATTCCTAGGAAGTCTGTGTCGGTATTTGTCTTGCTGAAATGGTGAACCACTGGAGATGGGGCAGACTAACATTGGATAGAAGTCAAGGCTGAATTTTTCTCAAAAGGGAAAGGCAGGTCACTGAGAAGCGGTCAGGTCTTACGGACCTTCATTAAGGAAATAAACACTCTGGATAATTTCTAACCTGCAAGCCATCATGATCCAAGTTTTTCTGTCTGTCTCACTTTTCTGTATTTTGCATCTAGCATAACATTTATTTACAGTTTGAGGGCACAACCATATACCTCTTTGGTTTTCACAGTCTGACCATGAGATGAGTTTCCATTTACTGGTGGTGGTGGTGGTGGTGGTGGTGGTGGTGGTGTAGTTGTTGTTATGCCCATATGTCTCCCAATGGAAGCACTCAAGTGTCATTCATTATTAATCTGATTCCTGCTACTTGTGCAATTAGAACTGTAACTCTAAGGTTTAATTAGGGCCAAGGCTGGAAGAACACAATGGTGTAAATCACAATTACCATCGAAAAATTTTCAGAAGTCAGGACGACAGTAAGAGGTTTACAAATAAATTTTCTGTGCCTCAGCAACCCTTATAGAGGGCTATTTTTTTTTCCATAGCCACTCGATCATCCATCAGAATGGACAGTTAGTAGTCTTTGATGAGTTACAGGGTACGCACATTACGATAATTGGGTTCTAACGTTATTCATACATAAAATTTCTCAGTATTCCTTTTTATTTTATTGTTGAAGTATGTTTTATGACCTATGATATTGTCTGTCTTGTGTTTTCCATGGGCACTTGAAAAGATTGTATAAACTGTTGTTGGGGTGTTATATCAATGTTGATAGATCTTCTTAGTTTATGATATTTTGACTTCTATATCTTTGCTGATTTTTTCTTGTTTGTATTTGTTGTTTATTGCTGCTGTAACAAATCACCACAGACCGAGTGACTTAAAACAACACAAAATTATTTATACTTCTATAAGTCAGAAGTCTGACATGTCTTAGTGGTTTGAGATAAAGGTATTGGCTGGCCTGTGTTTTTTTCTGGAGACCTTTCCTTGTGTTTTCCAGCTTCTATGGGTTGCCCACAGTCCTTGGCTCATAATCCCCTTTCTCTAACTTCAAAGCCAACAACAGAGGTGAAAACACCTAGAAGAATATAACATTGATACAAGGTGACAGGGATTATTATAGTATTTCCACCTTCCCCTCTATGCTGAGATGAGTCAGTAACATTGTGTATATGAAAATGATTTAAGCATTATGACCTGCTATACGTTTATATAGCAAATAAAAAGGAGTCATTTATTATAATTAATAAGAGTAGACTCTGGAAGACTAAAAACTCTCAAGAGCCAAGAAAGGGTGAGTTTGGACACCATGATAAGTAGAAGGGGGTGGGGCTTTTTATAGGGATGGAGAGGTAGGAAGAGAGAAAGACTCTGATGTTTTTTAAGCTCGTAAAAGATTAATGCCGACTTTGTATTTCTCTTTGTGGTCTCTGCCCAAAATGTATCCATTTTAACTGGTGGATAGAGCACTTGACTTTGGATCAGCTAAAAATGCATCCATTTTAATGTGTGGCGTGGAAGGGTACCCAGGCTGACCCTGCAACTGGTTGACAGGAAAAGAAGTCTGTCTGAAGTCTATATTCTTTAACCATGTGGAATTTATTGAAAAAGAAAAGAATATTGAGAGATGGGTTTGAGGGACAGAGAAATATGGGTAATAGGGTATGGATAGGAGAGAAAAGATATTTGAGCATCCTCTCTGACACTCAGGCAGAAGCACATGTGATTAGTTGTTGACTGGAAAAGAAACTAAATATAAATTAAGCCCAGTAGGTTGATGGAGGATTTTTACTGCCTCAGTCAGAACCAGAAGCAAGGGCACAGGCTTCTAGATCTTGTTGCAGAAAGATTGATTCCGACAGCATATAATTTGCATCCTGGTTCCATGGGAGAAGAGGTTCATAGATGGGCACATGTTCTCACACCCCTGAACCATGAATTGGAGTTTTCCACCTGAAAGAAGCAGAGACAGATTGTAGTGAGCGGCAGGCTTCCTCTTCTAACCTTAGCCTTCATCCCATGTACCCCAGTGTCCCCATGCAAGCATGACCAAGACCTCCAATTTATATATTCCTCCTCCCTTTCCCTTTCTATCTGCCTTTTCTGGGCCCTTTCCCCCATCAGTTGCCCCCTCCCTCTAGCAAGGCATCAGACAAACCACAGGCAGTGTGGTTCATGGGATGGAAGTAACTAAGATCCCTTATTTTAGGGATGAGGAACGAATGGAAGGGTAGAGAAGTGTGGAGATAAGATGGGTCTGACAATCTGTGGACACAGACTGGTAGACAATTGTTTATTCATTTATTTAATATTTACTAAATGCCTACTCTATACTGGGCATTGTGCTAAGTGCCAAGACTATATAGCCATGAACAAGAAGACAGACACAGTCTTGAGCTTACTGTCAATGTCTCAATGGCTCAAGGGACAATTCATATTTCTTTAATAAGAGACAGCTAGTCTCCTTGCCTCCTTTTAAGACATCACAGGCCTGCTGGGAATGGTTTCTATCTCTCCATCAGTAGCTGGAATTCTACACTTAATTCTTGATAAGGTTTCCAATCTCCAAGTTTCTGGGAACCACAGCTTGATCTCTCCTCAGGCCCCTGCCCCCACTCCCCCCCCACCCCTGCTCCCCATCAGTACTCAAGTTGGTTATGTTCTCTTACGAAGATCGCCTCCTGAAGTCCCCACATACCTTCAAAGATCTTCTTTAACATGCACTGCTGGGTATTCTGAGTGGAGCAGACACTCTCTCCACGAAGACATTTTCCTTTATCGTTCATGTAAGAGCATACGTGGCAATTCAATGCTGGGCCTGAAAATGTAAGATAAGCCAGATGAAATTCCCTTGTGGACCAGGTGTGTAGCCTGAGTCACACATCTGGGGAGAGAAGATGGGCAACAAGTAGCCTGGATACAACACATTTCATTTATCAGTTCTTGGGGATCTGAGGGCCCTGTGTCTGATAGAGCATATTCTCTCTTTTGTACCAGAGGGAATTCCTTCCTTCTTACTGCTTCCTCTGTGATGTTCATTGCTGATGAATCCCAAATTTATCTCTTTAATGCTGACTTTTACTCCAATTCATATCCCCATTGACATCTTGGACATTTATAATTAGATGCCCTCTGCCATGTCTAACTCAATAGGAGCAAAGAAAAACTTATTACATGACTAGCTCCTTTTTCTACTCCCCACCATACTCTCCCTCACGAGCACAAACACTTGGAGTAAAATTTGGCTGATAAGCTATATTAGAAGGCTTTAATGTTGCGAACCCTGTGAAGAGTCTGTATCATTCTCCAGTTTCAAAATGACCTGCAATAAGGTCAATTTGTCACCAAAGGCACTCTCTTTGAAATGCTTCCCTATTGTTTCTTTTACTATCTCCACTGCCAATTCCCTAGTTAAGGAAGTATAAGTGAAAAGAATACGGTCTTTGGAGTCAGACTTAAGTTTGAATCCAAGATTTGCTACTCTGTTTTTGGCTTCTCATCTGAAAATTTGGAATACTACTACTTAAACAATGGGGTCAAATGGGAAGTATTTATATCTGGGTAATAACTTGAGGCATCAAACCTTGGATCTTGTTTTCCTTCCTTGAAAAACCCCTTTTTACTAAGAGCCAAAGAATTGTAGTTGTCTTGGGAACTTATTTCTGGATCTAAAAGACAAAGTCTTTATGCTTTACTTTCCATTTTCAAACATAAATAAGAGCTACCAGCTCCAGAGCAAGATATCTTGTTTACAGGGTTTACAAAGCATTCTAACACAGTTAAAAACCAACTTAGCATAAAGGTCTTGAAGGTATCTTCCAGGAGCCCCTTCCAGGGGAGCCCTGGGCATTTGTAGTCATAATTTCTTATGTAGGGTGAAGCCGGAGGGACTGCTGGAGTTTTGTATTTCTGTTATTTTTCTTAAAGAGGGCCTTCCAAATTGTTTAGCCTTCAAGACCCCACAAAACCTGGGTCCTGCCTCCTGGTGTTATTGCAAATTAAGCTATTTGGGAGAGCCATTTGTGAAGTGCTTGCGAACTATTCTTTCTTCTACAGCCTTTCCTTAAAATTGGGTTTTTTTGACATGTTGCCTACTTCCCACCAGAAGTCAAGAGCTGGCACCCATCCAAATGTGGCTCACCTGAAAATGTGCTTGCAGCTGGACTGCCTGAAGGCTGTTCACCCGCTGGCTTTTCAACTGAGGCCTGTTCATCTGTAGCCTGTTCACCTGCAGCCTGTTCATTCAAAGTCTGTTCACTGGAAGCCTTTTCACCTGAAGGCTGTTCACCTGAAGGCTGTTCATTCAAAGCCTTTTCACTGGAAGGCTGTTCACCAGCCGGCTGTTCAGAAGGCTGTTCGGCGGAAGGCTGTTCAGAAGGCTGTTCAGCAGAAGGCTGTTCACTGGAAGGCTTTTCACTCGAAGACTGTTCACCTGAAGATTCTCCAGAAGTGTGCTCACTTGCATCATGCTCACCTGCAGTGTGCTCACCTGCAGCATGCTCACTTGCAGCAGTGTGCTCATCTGAACCCTGGTCACCTGAAGCATGCTCGCCCGGAGCACGTCCAGCTGAAGCGTGCGCACTTAAGATGTTCTTGCCTGAAGAAGTCTCATATAAAGCCTCACTGTCTGAAGGGTTTGCAAGTGACAAGTGCTCACCTGAAAACTGCTGAACTGAAGCTTGATCATCTATAATGCCAGGAGACTCATCAGGCTGACCTGATGCTCCTGTGATGGAGAAGGAACAGAAGAGAGACTGTGAAGGTGAGAGAAAGTATGTCCAAGGTAAAGACTACTTTTCTATAGAGTAAGGCTTACGTTATGGGATTCTTAAGTTTCCTGTGGGACTAGATCAGGCACGTGAAGATACTTCAGATGTTGGAGGAAGTCAGCTAATTACCTAAGAGACCGTGAAGGATAGCGGTATTGATGAAATACATAGAGACCACCTCTGGGATTAAAGGGAAAATTTTTAAGATCCACAATACTAATACACTGGGGGCCCATTTACCCATGCACCAAAAGCACCTGAAGGGAAATTGATGGCCCTCCCTTACAAAGCCAGCATCAGGAAGTCAATGTATCATCACCCATGTAATCAGAGGTCCACCACCAGCCCTCCCTCCAGACTCTCTATGGGTGAAAGGCAAGAAGAATAGAAATACAAGAGGGAGAGGGAAAGCAAGTTGTCTCAATAGCTGAGTAATGCTAGCTGAAATTGAGGGTGGAAGATTTTAAACTTTAGACAGGATAAGTTTTAAACCGGAAATGACAAATATCTAACGGTCTCACAAAATTATCAGGAGGAATTAAGACACCTTTATTTGGCAATTTCAAGTTCTTTCCCATGCTCAATCCCCAGTCCTTGTGGGCTGGGAATTCAAAGCAAAGTTGCTATCAATTTTCAAGATTAAAATATTGTTTGCTTATATATCTCTGAATTGAGATTCCTTGTGACATAACATTTACACTCACTTCAAGGAGTTGTCATAAGTATTCAATAAGATAAATTGTGAAGTGCCTAGTCCATTACCTAAGTGCTCAATTAATTTTAGATTTCTCTCCTCCCTACCTTACACTGGGAATTACAAAACTCTTAGCTGGTCATTCTCTTCTGGCTAGTCTCTTCGTTTTTACTCCATCTTATTAACGACTGTCAAATATTCCTTAAGTATGACTTTTATTTTATTGAATGTAGCACCAGAGAATCTGATTATTATGCTTAAATTCAGCTGAGTCACCTAGAGGAAGGCGAATAAACTACAACTGTTATTACTCCTAGCCAAAAGCTGAGAATAATAAGATCTTTGAGACTGAGGTAGCCTAAGGCCCCAAAGTACTCTAGCTCTGTTGAGTTCTGCCATATACATGTTTTCTTTCTGTGATTTGTAGTCCTTATACTCTATGACTTTGAACAACTACGATTAGAATATGTTGATAAAGGAAAGGGAAGACTTAGGAAGGTATCTAGGAGGTTTTTATTTTGTAAAAGTTGTTACAGAAATATTTCTGCTTGACTGATTCTTAACAGTTGACAGAAGCTTTAATAAAGAGATTTCTGAAAGGAAGCTTGAAAGTACACTAATTTCTTAGTCATTCCTATAGTTTGGCACTGCTTTACCATGTGGCTGGCACATATTGCCTTCTGGTAGCTATGTATCTGTTTCTGAGTTAACCTTGGAAAATTCAAGAAAGCCAGACAAAATATCTGAGAACCAGCATTACAGAAAACACTGTCATTTAACCATCAGCTCAGAGCTCACGGCCTCTCTCTTCTGTTACATAGCTCACCGTGAGTGGGGGCCGTGAAAGAGGAAATGCAGACATCTGGAAGGACAGAAACATAGCCATGAAGGAGAGGTGTGTAAGGTCTCCGGCCGAAAGCCCTGCTGTGTTCTGAGCTGGCTTTCTGGGTACATTACATTCTCATCTCTTTATGCCTTTCCTTGCCACATTAACTACATAGGATCTCTGGCTCACTGGAACAAGCCTCCATTGACTTCCACAGAAGCCCTAGACCTATCTTGTCATCTCACAGAGCATCAGGCACAAATGTTGAGTGGCCGAAAGAAGTAGGAACAGGCCTGTGCCAAGCTAGTGGGCTCCTCTGACAGTCGAGTCACAATTAGGAGGAATCAACTAGATCAGGGGCTCGGAGTTGAACTCTGTTTAGCAGTTCCTGATTCTGAGTCAGATTGGTTTGGGTAACTAAGACACTGGTCTTCTTCAAGGACTATAACAACTTAAAGAGGCCTCTTGGCTAAGGTAAAGGACTCACCTCTGGCAGATCCAAGCAGATAAAGACTCATTAGTAAGAGAAACTTCATCTGGATTTTGAGAAAGAGGGTACCCTGGTGTGGGGCACCCAGGAGCCGTGAAGAAAAACTGTGAGCAGAAGCTCCCAACGCTGAGTCACAACTTCTGGGATTCTAGAACCTCAGGAACAACCCATGTTTGCTCACAATGGGTTGTGCTCTGAGGTTCTCATATAAGCGGTCAGGCAGTTGGCCCTCCAACAACCCATGTCAAACTGCACCAGTGCAGGCTATGTGTTTGCCAGGTGCAAGGTGATAGGTTGGAGCTCTCTGCCCTATCTTAAAAAAGAAAAAATCTTATTACCAAAATAACATATACTCTTTGTAATAAATTTTAAAGCTATCGACTCAAAGTATTCATGACAGTGAGTTGTGACTGGCTGTTTATTTTCTGTTTGGCTCTCTAAATCAGCCCTTTTGTGACCCTGTACCCCAGAAGGCTGACCCTCTATTGATTTGATCACTTAAGTGCTGGTTGGGTTTGGCTTCAGATTGGGTTTAGCCAGCGGAAGACTGGAGGTGGGGGGTGGGCTGGATAGACACACACATGCACTCGCGCACACACACACAACGCACACATGGTGTAGGATTGAAGTATTTGTTCTTTTCACTCCCTTCCTGACGGTCTGATACTGGCTGGGTCTTCCTGTGATGCAGGCTCTGTCAGCTGTCCTCCATGGCTCCAGCTCTCCGGGAGGCTATGTTAACATGTTTTCCTTCTCCTGCCCTCTTAGGCCTGAGGTTGATGATGATTTCTTGCCGTTACTAAAATCTGGATGCCCCAACTTTCCTTTTTTTTCAATTTCCTTAACCCCATCCACTTCTGTACATAGTCTTTTCATAATGGTCTCTATCAACCATGGTTTTGGCAAGAAACAGATGGCAAACTTAACTGGGTCACTGAGGAGCAATTACAGAAAAGGGATCCACAAAGAATAGTCAAAACCTGTGCCTTGAGCTGTAACTTCTACTCAGGGAGTAGCCAAGCTGAGGAAGTAGGTGCAGTGAGGCACCCACCTGGTGTAAAGCTGGAACTTTGGAGAGATGGGGTGGCAGAGTCCCTAGCCTTCATCTACTTCTTCCCTGCCTGTCTTTCTTGGACCACAGTGTTACGTGTACCACTGAGGGCTGGGTCTAGAATAGATGTATTTGTCATTCTTTTAATTATTTGTTTAATGTTTGTCTCTCCCACAAGATTCTAAGCCCTTTGAAAGCAGGGTCCCTGTCTGGCTTGGTTGCTGTTGTACCCCTGGTACCTAGCAGCATGTTTGCCATGTAATAGGTACATGATAATTTTTTTTTTTTTCCCTAAATGAAGGAACGAATGATTTGCCATTTATGGGCCTCTCTCTGCCTCCTGGACAAAAATCTATAGAGAGTCCCTAGAATGGGTTGGCTGAAGATTCTGGGCCAGTTGGAGAAAGCAGGATCACCAGGGGTTAAAAGCTGCCAAGGGGGCCTATTCTATTTGGCTTGAATTGAAGGACAAAACTAGGATTTCTGGGTCTGAGGCTGGGTTCCTTTGGAGTAAAGCATGAAAAAAGGAAGGAAAAACTATTGATTCCTTTCCTTCATATGGAGTGAATGGAGAAACAGTTTTGGGATTATACTGAGTCAGACTTTTATTGTTAGAAGCAGTGGAATTTAGTGGAAAGGAAGAGGTGCTATCTATGCCACCCGCAATTGTTTGAAGTTTGGCGACACCACTGTTTGCAATTATCAGACCTTTCTGGGACATCCCTGCTTCACCCCTCCCCAGGAGTCACAGTATTGAGAGACAGGACCTTAAAGCCTGAATGTTCTCTTCTTAAATCTTACCTTTCAACTTTTTCATCCCTCTTTTCTTAAGGTTGCTTTACAGGAGTATATCCCGGTCCCACCCAGGTTGGCTTTCCCTGGGTTCTCTACTCTGGAAAACGCCTCCCTGTGTCCAGCAGTCTGGCACTTCACAGCCACGCCTGTGAGTATCTGAGCATGCCATTTAAGAAGACTTACGGTGATGGAGAATTCACTGTGGAATTTGAAGAGTTCTGGAGTCAAGACATCCAGAGTGTTCAGATCCTGCATCCTTCCTCTGCCAATCTCTTTAATCCTAGATGAGCTAATGTTCCAGTGTCTAATGCCACAAATGTAACAAAGAGTCAGCCAACTCAGCCCCTTGATCAAAAAGATGAGCTGAACCAAAACAGTCTTCTCCCCAAAATTTGCAGCTGAAACAGAAAGACAGAGACAACTAGCTATGGAGAGCTGAGTTAAAAAGTCATTTAGACTCACGTGCTGAAACCACTGTCTGGGGCCAAAGGAAGGATGAGCAAGCTGAGAAGCCAGGAGAGGGTAATAGAAAAGAACACAGAAGAGATAAGAGATACCACGCCTCATTAAGTTTACCTTAAATAATGGGAAATTATATAGATGTCCACACAGGGCTGTATACCACCCAGGCTGGGCCTCGTGGAGACCTGAACACAGTCTGTAACCTGAAATGTGGTTCTGGATACACAGCCATGCTAGCTCTAGTTATCTTGTAGGCTTAGTTTCTTAGTCTTCCTGCCTATGTTCCTACTGCTCTTGTTCTAAACTCACTCTCCTCTCTTCTTTCTATTTGGTGACTTCCTTTTACTCATAACTCCTACCGATTCATAACTTTTGCCTACTCATAGTTTCTGAATGTTCATTATTTCTGCTTACTCATGACTTCTGCTTATTCACAGCTTATGCTTACTCCTGACTCCCGATGTGTGCCCTTGTCTGTCTTTTGGCCCTAACGTGCACTGTTGACTCTCCTCACATTTAGTTTTCAAGAGAATTTCAGCCATCTAACCTCTCACTATCATCCCTTTTGTAGAAAATTCCAGTGTCAGGCTACCTCGTAGGCCTTTCATGTGATTCACACAGCCAGAATGGAGGGTATGTGACCCCCAGCATGGTGATCCATATTAAGAGACCTAGAAAAGGGGCCATAGACATAGTAACAATTCTCAGGCTCCTCAAAAGTCAGAGGAGTGGGGTGCAGTAAAACTGGAAGGCATGTTGCTTCATTTATGTAGTGCTTCTGCCAGGGAAAAGCACCAGGACCTTTTGTAATCTGTCCCCACATTTTCTTCCTCCATCTCATCTTTCTGCTCCTTCCCTTCCTCCTCCTTCATCCCAAGCTCCATCCCAAGCCACATCCATACACAACTGCTAGTTCCCTGAATATGCAGTGTTCTCTGCATTTTTATGGTTCCCCTCCCCTCTTTTCCTGAAATTTTACTGCTCCATCTCATCTTCTTGATGAGAATTAATTCTTAACTCTTCACACACTCCCTGGGAGGTCTTATCCATGCCGATCGCCACCTACAAATTGAAGACCACCAAAATCTATCGATCCGGCCCACAGACTCCTCTCTTCTTAGTTCAGACCAATAGATCCAACTACCAGCTGCACATTTCTATCTGGATATCTCAAAACACCTCAACTCAACGTTTGTAATACCGAATCCATCATTTGTATCCCAACTCTGTTTTGGAGACTTTTAGCTCAGTACTGTTATTGGCATCTTCCTTGCCTTTGCTTCACCATTCTATCAGTTTTACCTTTACCTAGTTCTTCAATTTATCCGCTTCTCTCTCTTCTCTCTCACCTAACCCAAGTTCAGGCTCTCATCTTCTTCTCCCTGGACCACTGAAGCAGCTTCCTCTTGGTCTCTGTTGTCCTCATGAGAACTTACCTTTTTTCTGTTGCCAAAACCGACTTCTAAAACTAAAATCCTGAGCGATAAAGTTCCACTTAATCTTCTGTCGAAACTTCAAATAAAACTCTGTGAGATCAGGGTTTCTCCAGCTTCAGCTCCCATGGCCTCCTCTCCCTGCCAGCAGCATAGCATGCAAACAGATGGTTAGACACGCCTGCACAGTCCTTTTGAGCCAATACATTCTCCATTGTCACACTGCAGCAACTCGAAAAGGAGAGGCCTGTTCAAAGGTGGAAAAATCTTCTCTTTGACTGTCCCTGTAGTTTTGTCCCTCCTGTGATATATCAAATCAAGTCAGGGATAAGGTGAGTGATATTATCACTGAGAATTATGTAAGTAAAGGGATACGGCAACTTCTGCCTTTCATTTGACCAGATTTGTGCTCAACCGGTGGCATGCTGAGACTGGCTGGAACTGGCGTATGAGAGCTGATTGTTAAAGTTTCAAGAAATTTTACAAGTTGTATGTTGAACACAGATATTATTAAAATTAACGTATAAAGTAACAAATTAATTATATTAGAAACACAGATAGTACTCAAAACGTCATCACTTCTAAATTATTTTACTATGTTTTACTATTATCTGTGTTCTTAAAGTTATTTCTTTCTGTTATATCTGTTTATTATATAATGGTGTGCTCATCTCTTCTCAATTCCCCAGGATTCAGTGATGCCAGGATAGTAGCTGGAAATTGCCATTTACACCATGGAAATCTGCAAACACTACAAATCTGAACTCTCTCCACCCTCCCTCACCCCACAAGCCAGCTGTTAAACATTTACCGGCTCACCCCTGGGCTAAACCCGTGTACTTGTGACCTGGGAAAACTGGAAAACGGGACACTAAAAACTTGCAAAATTCTTTCGCATAGGAATGCACATCTGACAGGACAACTGATGAGTGTTTTTAAAAATTTACAGCCAGGAATTCTGCAGACGAGAAATGATAATTTACAGTAATGTTGGAACCAACGTATGCAGTCTTTTGTCTGCACGGATTACTGATAAAGGTTATCAGTAATCTTTATTGTGGAAGGGCCTACATTCCCCTTAAGCCCTGGAGTTCTGCCACCTTTGTACCAAGCTTAGGTCTTGCCCTGGGTGTTTTCTGAGGCTGGACCCCTGGTGCCCAGGACTCTGCCTTAACTGGGTACATCTATAGCTGTTCCTCTTCTCACTCCTTGGAACTTTGCCAGGGATCCAGGCCACTTTCTTGTCATTGAGGGTAGGGGGGTAGAATTAGCAAACAGTACACAAAC